AATAAATCACTCTTACCAAACCAGTTCCAAGGATCCAAAACCCATTTAATAGGATCATATAAAAACTGACGTATTTCGAAATTTAAATGAATACATCCAAGTACAATTGTAGCAATTAAAAGTCCATTTATAATATCTTCATCCAATTTGTTGTTATATGTTGAAGCAGCCGTAAAGCATGCAAGTAAAGCAGTAAAAAATACCCAAATGATAGAATAATAATATCGTCCAAATGAATTCCACTTGAAATTAATTAATGCTTCACCATTCCATGTTGCGTATATTTCTCTATTTATTGTATCTACAAATGGACTAGGTTCGGGCTTAATTAATTCCCGCCACCAGTCATAGTCTGGCGGGTAACAAACAAATTGTATATAAGGAATAATAAAAGTAATTGTAGGCATCAGTTTCTCCGGAAAAATGTTATCATTTATATAATAATAGCATAAATAGTAACAAGTAGAAAACCCATCAAAGTAAAATTCGTTAATAATATGAAACTTATTTAAAAGAAGAAATATAGGGAAAGAAATGGGTAATGTCAAAAAAAAGATTACAAATTGAATTGCAATATATATCTTTAATGATAACTGAATTATTGTGTATTCACTATTACTATCACTATAAGAATTGACCAGATTAGTATATTTTGTCCATGCAATAGATGGTGTTAAATTAATTATACCAATATTAAAAAATGGATTAAGATGAGATGTGCTAAGTTGTTCGATTTTATATTCAGGAGAATCAATTATCATGTTTGTGTCTGATGAATATCTTGTTATATATTCAGGATAATGATTTTCCAATAATGGCATGGATTTACTAATAATGCTTAAGTATGCTTTATTGTTTTCTAAATCCATTATAAAGAGATCTAAACACTCATTATAAATCTTATCTATCAAATTTGAAGCTTGTATCCTAATCGCCGACATTAATAATTCAGATCCATATTTTAAAAAGATTTCTTTATCCTCCATATAATCATTATAAATCTCATCAAGTAATTCTGTATCGTGTACCTCTGTCGTATAATTAAATAGATCAAGATGATATTTTAAAAAAGTTTCATTGTCCTTTTGGACATATGCCATCCATCCATAAATTAATTCATCATAATCA